CGAAACCAATAAAATTACGGTTTAAACTTCCCCTAATTACACGTGAACCATAGCATACTCTAATTTCTTCAAAGTCCCTGACCTCAAGTTTATACCATCATGGATTTGACATGAAACGATCCAGACTACTTCACCAATAAAATCTCCTAGTATAACAAATTTGTTCACCATTGCACCAATAGAAAATCAGGAAAACGATGACTTAAACTTCCCCTAATTTCTGTAATATACGTACTTTATCTTGAAAAATCTCTAACCTCGAATGCAAAAAGCGACCAATTAAAGCTTAGAGATCAATTCCAACAAACCCTGGCCGTGTATCGGTTTTTTCATTCGTCGTTCGCGTCTTCAGGCATAAGTGGCTGCAATTAACACCGTTCCATCGCAATCTTCGCGAAGATCTTTACGAACGTGCATATTTCAAGCGGAGTTTCTTCGCGAGACGCGGATCTTGATACCGGCGATTTCATGCTTAACGCGAGAATTAACCGCTTTAAATTCGCCGATGGAGTAAAAGCGAGAAGATAAAAAAAATCCAAACCGCGGTACGTTATTCGTGATTAAGGCCGTTATCAGTGACAATTCCCTGCGAGCCCCGTGGCCCGGCCCCTTTATATTGCCCCGAGTCTTTATACCATCCAACATCGGGCTATCAAACTGACTCACGATCCGAGCGGTGACGAATAATACTCGAACACGAACGTTCGCATACCTTTGTGCAAGCACTCGGGCTCGTCGAAAGTACCGACGACACGGAAAGCCTTCTCACACGAACACTCGGCCGGGGTGCATGAAAGTGGATAGAGGGGCACGGTTAATGCCAGGTCGAAGGAGAAGGAAAGTCGGCACCGGGGGTCGAATGCAAATACGTTCGCGCGTAATTGCAATTTACATGTTTATAAACCTCTTTTGCATGTGGTGGCTCCTTTTTTCCTTCGTTTCGAGAACGTCTCGAGCCCTTGTTACTAGACCTCATGCCGTGACGTCAGGGCCACTTCGTTATAATACAGCGTAAAAATAGCCGGTGTGACAATAATTGCGCGCATAATCGCGAGGAACGCGACGTGACCAAGGCGTCGCGCCGCCCCTGACGTTCTTTTCACTGTTCGACTTCCACGTTCAATTAAATAAGTGGATACGTTGTTTTATACGCAATCAATTTATCGAGTTCCATGTTTGATACTGTATTTCTCAAAATTGATATAAATATGATTTGGGCATATTATATTATATTCGAAGATCGTTGAATCGACAGAAAAATAATTATTCTGTGAACAATACACTGATGAATATAATTATACGACATCCCATTTATTTAAAAAAAAAATATGTATAAGCTTATGCATGTAACGTAAATGATGATGGAATTAAAAGAATACTATTCGCGAACTTCATCACAATGTAAACAAACACAAAGCGTCGAAGCATTTCCAAGAATTGTAATGTTTGGTTTCATCTATAGGACAAAATTATAAGACATTAATGTTAGTCGATTACAGACAGTCGTTGAGTCTAAATGTATTCGTGTGTTTCGTACTGCGAATTCTCTATTATAGTGATTTTCTTAGTATAAATCATGCCACGTGGTAAAGTTCCAACTGAAGAGGAAAAAATAGAAATCTTTCAAAGAAGAGCAAAAGGAGAGAATTTAAAACAAATGTCACGAAAAATGAAAAGAAGTAGGTGTGTAATTCGTAATTTTTTAAATAATACAAAAAGTTACGGAAAAAAGAAGAGATCTGGAAGACAATCATCCCTTACTTTAAGAGATAAAAGAGCAGTTTTAAGGTGTGCAACAAATTCAGCTCTTACGACTAGCTAAATTTGAGTAGAATGTGGATTAAAAGTATCTGTAAAGACTGTAAAAAGAGTTATACAAAAGACACAGCATCTGAAACGAAAAAAATTTGCTGTTAAACCACCTTTGTCGATAGTACACAAACAGCGTCGACTGGATTTTGCTCTAAATCATCTACAGTGGACAAAAAAATGACGGAAAGTGATTTTTACTGATGAAAAGAAAATGAATTTAGATGGACTCGATGGTTGGAAATATTATTTTCACGATTTACGAAAAGAAGCAAGAATTTTAAGTCGCCGTCAATGTGGTGGAGGATCTGTGATGTTATGGGCAGGCATCGGGTATAATGGGAAGACCGAAATCAAGTTCATTGATAACAGAATGAAAGCTACTGATTATTTAAAACTAGTACAAGAGCAGATTCAGAATCATGCTGAAAGAATGGCTGGTGAAAAGTTCATATTCCAGCAGGACAATGCAGCTGTTCATACAGCTAAAGTTGTAAAAAATTATTTTCAAGCTCAAAGTATACCAATTCTATGTATGGAGATTGACCAGCACGATCTTCGGATCTCAATATTATAGAAAATGTTTGGGGTCAGTTACATAGAAGAGTATACGAAGGTGACAAACAATATAATAGTCTTAATGATTTGAAAGTAGTAATTCTGAAAGGTTGGGAAGACTTAGATCAAAAGAATATAAAACATTTATTTAAAAGTCTGCCGAAACGAATGATCGAAATTGTTCAAAATAAAGGATGCTCTACACATTATTAGTACTTCAAAATGTGTATAAATTTTCAGAACTTTTGTTCATTCTCTTTTTATTTTAAACAGTGTCTTATAATTATGTCCAATCGAAATTGTATTATTTTTGAATAAATTAGAAATGTTTTATCATTTTTCGCAAAATTTATGAAGTTCTTATTAAAAAATAAACCATTTTCTTTTGACAAAGTGTATTTTAATATACCTACGTTATTAAGTACCTAAACCAATATTCGTCGGGGTGTCTTATAATTATGTCCACCAGTGTAGATGATTTATGTTTAAATTACGCGAAATGTAAGCAGGATACTGGTACTTGGAAATGTATACTAATATAAACAATGTACAGTTGTTATTATTAGAGATCAAACCAAAGAATAACCATCATCTTATTGTTAGAAAAGTAACTTATATCCAGGAAAAGTACATAAGGAAAAATAATTAACAGAATGAATAGGAAAACAAAACAACATGAAAATGAGAAACACCCAAAGTACATTAATCTTTTGTTTTTCGACTTCACTATCCACAAACATAAGACAATTTCCTGTTTTTGTTAAAATTGAAATAAGTAGCTTCTCTTGTTCAAGTTACGTGATATTGAATATCAAAGAAACATATATTTTCATCAGTATCCTCAAAATTGTATTATTCGTTAAAATCGTTCATATTAATTGTTCATGCATGAATTGTCTAAATATGCAAATTGAAATTGCAATTTCAATTTTCAGTGTGAACTTCATTTAGAATCCTTTAAATGACTGTAGTGTATTGTATATTAAAATACTTAGCATTCTCTATAACGTAGCATTCTCCACTTCAAATTGATACTTTATTCGCCATTTATTAAACAATTTAGATTGCATCTTGCATTCTAAGAAAAATAAGACACGGATATTCGAACCCACTATCCTCGAATCCACAATCGACAACTTTTCCTACACGACCAATCCCGCACCCTACAATTCGTATTTTTGTTTGACTTCTTATTCTTGGGTATGCAGGGCGCGATACTACAATAAATTTAACGTGTTACCAAATGTAATACGTAAAATATGCAATAAATCTACTAACAAAATGCGTTAAATATGCGGCTTTTAATATACCATTTCAATCTACGATTTATAAGATTCTTTTACAAGGAACAGCAATCTTGTAGCTTGAAAAGAATTTAAATTTCGCTCTCCCTTAGAATGAAAATTGAACATTTATTCAGAATATGACGTTTAGTAAGATGAGATATTTTGTAAGTAAAAATTTGGTGCTTCAGCGATGCAGCATCCAGCATAGTAAAACATATTCACGAGGAAGAAAAAGAGGAGGAAAAATTCAGTAGTACGAAACACGATATCTCGTCCGGCGGTACTTCGAATTCCAACGAAACTGGAACCACGTAGCTTGGGACTCCAAGACTACTATGAAGCGATATTATACACTTCGACTGTTCGTTTTGCGAAGCAAGTTGATCGATAAATGCCCTCGAACAGATCACATTATTTCTTGAAAATTCGTTACAGAGAAAAGTGCATAATATAAACAATTTCTACTTGAGCACATACAATTATTTTATTATCTATAAAACAAATGATTTATGAACAAGTAAATTTCCAAAATTATATTTAAACACTTTTAAGATTTCCATCTACAAATATATGTCATAATTTAATACAGTATAAACAGGCATAATTCATATGGAATAAACGTCTTTTTAACTTCAGATTCTCTTTAATGTATTTATTTCTGAATAATGAAATAATGCACATATGCTTTCTATATATTAACACATTCGCGAGCACTGACGTGAATTCTCGTAACTTCAAACTCTATTCCTGGTTTCTATTCCAAATTATGACAATTTTTTTATTTTATGTACTACATATTTACAACATTGATATTTCAAAACATATTTTGTAATTTTTATCTTCGCCTTAACGATACAAATTTGCGATGTCCAGCTTCAGAATTTTATTATTTTCGTCAGTACCTACTCGGTATTAGAAACGTAAAACGTCTGCCGGTCGCGAATGTGTTAATACTGGATGGGAGTTTAGAATTAATTACAAAGAAAAGTGCACAATATAAATAATTTCTACTCAAACAAACAACATTATTTAATCGTCTAAAAAACAAAAATAATATGTTTATGATTTGGTAGCAATGAAAACAAGAGCAACGAAACAGAAATGTGTGTCTTACCACGACTGCGCTAACTCACTTGTACTTTATTAACAAAGTCCCGAAACCCTTTTTAGAAAACCGTTTATATCACGCAACTACTGAACGTAATTTCGTCGTGGCATGAACCGTAACGCGAACACACACATACGGTTAAATTAGCCCGTGGTGGTTGGCAAACACTATTCGCGTAGCCCACCGACATAGTTCGCAACTACAAATCTACACGTAGCCGTTGCAATCTGTTGTTTCAGGCAAAGGACGCCATGAACGAGCTGGAGGGCATCGATCTCACGGATCCTGATCTGCACAAAGCGGCGACGAAAATCCAAGCGAGCTTCCGGGGTCACAAGGTGCGCCAGGAAGTGGGGACTCCTGGCCAGGAGGAGACCAAGAATTAAGGAGAACAACGGAGAGTAGCTGATTCTTCGAAATCGAATCGCCGATAGTATGCCCGAAATAAAGAACAAATAAAAGTAAACGTAAAATAAGAAGCAAATCGAACGTTCAAAACAAAGAAAAAAGCAAAAAAAAAAAATAATAATAGCAAGAAATCGGGCATCAACCTGTTTCTTTTTCATTTGTCGTTGAGTCCTGCTTCGTGCGATCGCGATTACTTCACACGATACCTCGCGATTAAGTGCTATCATTTCAATGTTCATGATGACATTGTTATCGTCCGATATTCTCCGTGATTGCTTAGAATTCTCACGTTTTATCGTGGTTTCTTTAGGAGCTTGCGAATTCGGACTTTCGATTTGAATGAGACAGACCCTCGATAAATTTTGAATGCAGAGATGGGCAAAGATTTTTATCTGGATAAGATACTTCAAGTAAGGAATTAAAGATCGATATTTTTCTATATGTTATTTGTTTGATACTGATTATGATCCGATTGTGAAATCAAATTATGTTTTACGGTGGACGAATAGAGGCTTCCATGTGTAACTGTTTAGTCGAATAAATGTTGCGAATAAACTGTTGCACAGAGCTTTTATTCGTCATTTGTTGTTTGAAAATAAATTCTGCCCAACTCTGATGAAAAATCTCATCACTTTCCCTTTGTACTTTTGAAAGGATTTCGGTCACTTAACCCTCTATTGCGTATTACGTTCGATCATTGAGAGATTTCTATATTACTCCTGAATAGCGATAGTGACATAACTAAAAAATTAAATTTTACAGCATTTTATAAGCATTTTAAAAATTGCATTGTTAAAGAACTGTTTCAATTGATTCCTGTCTCGTTTATTTGTTGTTGTACTATTCTAAATAATAGAAGAGGTCGACCAACTCAATTAATTTATACAATAAAATTAAAATTGATATTTTTTAGTCCATGCCACTATCAATGACAAGAAGCAATACGATGTTATCTTATAAAGACGAATAATAACCCTGCAGATTAGGTCAGTAGCGCAATTAGACGAGAACAAAAACGAATTGCCGTCCCATCCTATGAAAAAATTCAAAAAACTTTTTTTAATATGTTCTAAACATGTAAAATTTTAAAAGTTTGCGTATATAAAACTATTTTACTCCCTCTTCCATTTGTGAAACTTTTCGTCGCTGATTATTGAGATTGAATATTAAATAATTGAATTAAATTGAATTGAATTTAATATTGAATATTAAATAATTCATAAAGCTATAATTAAAAATAAATAATTAATAAACTAAAAATAAAATGGCTGCGATAGAGGGTTGAATGACAAGTATCGCGACGATTTTTTTTATCCAAAAATTCACCTGCCGTGTGTATTCCGCGATTACTCTAAAACTGTATTCCAAGTGTTTACTAATTAACATTTACAATCGTGCGCGGTCGAAGGTGAAAACTCCTAATCGTCTGGTATCGACAGTTCTTGGCTGTCTGCTGCAAATTGGCATTTTATCGACGTAAAACATCCCCTGACACGAAGCAGAGATGGGTAAAATTTCAATCGAATAATCGGTCTCGAATAAAAACGATTTATTCGTGACACTTATTCAATGTACCGTGATCATGACCGTAGGTCTCGATTCGTCCAACGTTGAGTGTAATTTCATTCTGCAATTCAAGTAATAACTTTCGTTCAACGATTAATGGGCAGAAATAATAAAAATAGATACATTCAGTGTAAGAAGTAATCGTACAGCAACCCATTTAAAATAAATGATTCCTGTATGAATACTTATTACACTGACTGTATATATTACTCGTATATTTTGATTTTTGGTTCTGAATCATCTTCAGAATCTGTACGATTAAATTTAAATTCGCAAAGTTGGATACACAGCGCGCCACTTTCTCAATCGAAAATCATAATAGGATCGACAAATGGTTATAAGAATTGAGAATTTCAATGGAAAATGTTCAGTGAAGAATTTTATATAAAACGAAATTAATTATAATGTATTTATTTATTATCGAATTAGAATTGTAAAATATGTTGCGTGTATAAAAGAACGAGTAAATATTGAGCTTTTGCTCGAATAACTATATCCAAAATTATATTATCGTACCGAAATAACTGAATAATAAAATGTTTCTCATGTTTTATTCGTTTTTCGAAATTTGTATCTCATGGAAGAAATTTTACCCAACTCTGACGTGGGGTAAACGAATCGGAAGAGCGGATCGAACGAGAAAAACACTGATCGGTGTAATAAACGTCAGGAGCCGCTATGCGTTGCGTTAAATCGATCGTCGGTCAAGCGCGAACAAGCGATTATTCGAAAAGGGCTGCCTGAATTTCCCCAAGTCCAAGCCACTCGAGATAACGAGATAAAAATAAAAGCGAAAACCGAACAAAATCAATTGACTCGAGAGCGATTCGATATTCTTAATGAAATTTCATTTCCTCGAGCAAGCCACACGAATCGAATCAACAAAATAAATGTCATAGACGTAACGGTGTTTTCCTACAACTGACTTCACTTTCCAGAGCAATCAAAAACTATATTTATCAAAATAGATCAAATATTTAGATTATGTTAGAAACTTTTTCTGAAAATGATTTTTGTATTTTTTCATTTCGTTTAAAGAATTTATTGGCCGTATTGAAAAAAAGATTGATTAGAAAAATGTAAGTTCGAGAACTATGTTATATCAAAATAGGATAAACATGAGTAAAATTATATGTGGATTCAAAGCTTCAGTAACGAGTAAAAGATAACCTACTTTTTATTCATTAATCGTTGAATAAAAATAGAGTTTGAATTACAGGGTGGAACATTTTAGGGTGAACGAATAAAAATTTACCTGTTTAATCGAATAAACTCGACGAATCACCATACGTTGGCTTTATTCGTCAATCATTATTCAAATACAATTTGACAAACCTCTGAAACATGGTGACAGTGTTCGAGAAGTATGACTGCTTTATAGTTCGATTCAAAATTTTTGTTATTCTAAATTATCATTAGTATGACTAAATAACGACGGGACAGTGTTGGAATAATATAATCATAATTAACAATTAACGAATAATCCAACACAATTAGCCCCGAAAAATGACAAATTACTAATCTGCAAATCAGCTTCCAAATACATTTGACGATTACTGATTAATCTGACAATGATCACTAAAATAGTAAGTACAAAGTAATCCCTACCCAACTCAAAAGATGAAGTTGTTGAGAATGTGTATCTTCAGCACCTATGAATTCTATAATTAAACTCAATTTTCTGTTTAATTTGTCCAATTCGTTGTACTATCTGAAGCAAATCCATGATATGGAAAACAAAATTTGTTTATTTAAAATTGCCTTCGTACAATTAGTCTGCCCTAAGTGGAATGAATCGTTGCGTCTATGGCTTCTGTAAGCATAGGGGTGAAGAATGGGAGAAGAAACTGAAAATTAACGTGAAATTAATCGACGATTGATGAAAGTAACCGGATTTTGTTAAGAGGTTGTATTGTATTCTGTCCGTGCCGGAAATAGAGCGTGTTTACCCTTGTATAATTTTCACTGTGCGAACCAACGTCGAGACTCGACGACCCAGCAACTCGGCCATTCGTATCGAACCACCCCTTACAGCGCGCGACGCACGCAGGCGACCGAGACGAAGAATTGACAGACTGGATGAAATATCAAACGTCCGCACGCGACCGCTCCAGACAAGGAATCGCTGGCATTTTCATCTATCCGCGACAGAGATTCGGTTTACACCAGTGGTGCACAACCTTACCCCTTACCGAGCCAAATAAAATGAAACAGTTTGTCCGAAAAATAACTCGTCTCTGCTCTTCGAAATTCCTTGGCTCGTCAAGCCCTTTATTTTGTTTGTATAGCATGTTCGATTCTTTCATTTGAGTCATTTTCAGTAAAACTTTACAAAAAACTTTACTTACCATATTTCCTTGAAAAAAAAAGGAGGGGAGGTTTGTTTCAAGGAAACGAAAATTTTATCTAGATTGCTTCGTTTTTTATTAAAGAATAATTTATCGTTTGAATAATCTAAGAAGTTTACATGTTTCCTTGAAAACGAAAAGGATATATTTGTTTCAAGAAAACGAAAATTTTGACTAAATTTTTCCTCCTTTATTAAAGAATAATCTGCATTTTGAATAATCTAATAAATTTACATGTTTCCTTGAAAAAAAGGAAAGAAAGATTTGTTTCAAGGGAACCAAAATTTTCTCTAGATTGTTTCGTTTTTCATTAAAAAATAATCTATCGTTTTAGTAATTATTTAAGTAATGCCCAACTCTGGCTCAAAGAAACGGATGGAGTTTTCCAACCAGTAGCTTGAGTACAAATTTTAAACATCAAAGCAGTAGTTATTCGAACATGAGAATCTTTTTTATAGCATAAATTGGTAATAATCTTACTTTTACCAAAATATATGGATATGCAGTGAATTATGTGTAAGAGATGCGAAAATTTCCTGTCTAAGAGACACGTGGTTGCCTCCACTACTCTTTGGAACTGTTCGTCGAGTACCAATCGAGGAAAATAATAGCGAATTAGCCTCTTTCGAAAAGGAATCAGAACGATTCTGTTCTGGCCCTCTCGACGTGTAAGAGGCATGTCCCGAACCCGAGGAGCGCCTCTAAAACAAGATTCACTATAATTCGATTAATATTATTACCAACATACATTTCCTAATATTTCTTTTAAGAAATAATTCTTTGATCTTCGATATCAAAAAGGATGTACGAAAACTTTAAATGTACTTAACCAAATAATTGATCGTCGTTAGAGAAATCATGTAATTTAAAATCTAGAAATTATATAAAAGAAGTTATACAGGTTCATGTACCGGAAAATAAATCAAAAGCAGATTATCAAATAAAATTATGTTTGATAATTCATATTTGATAATTATATTAATCTATAATTATATCTGTGTACTTTAAAAAAAGAACATAGATATATTAATACTAATGAAGGTTAATCATTGAGAAAAAATTCACTACAGTTGTATATCTTCTTTGATATTTTTTTTTTAGATTTAATGTTACATACTTTTATTCAAAAAATTACCAATTACATGATCGACTCTCGTGTTGGAACAACAATTACTCGAATATTTTAAACTTATCGTAAGCCTGCATATGAACGCAAAAAAGTGTATTTGTGTATACAATGCTAACAATGGAAATAATTAAAAAGGATTACTTCACCGAGCAAACTGTCCCCGAGGAAATTGAAAAACGCACACCAGTGCGACAGAGTTGGACAAAATTTTCACCTGAAAATTCCGAATAACGGATAAAGGACAAACAGTTTTCGATAAGTCATTGTCCAATAAAAATTGCCATTTGAATTTATAAAATGGAATGAAATTTAACATCGAATGAATAACTGCTATAGATTGTTTCTATTCGTTATCAATTATTCCAATAAAATCTTGCCCTGCTCTGTTGTACTACTGTCGTATATATTTAATCGATAGGTGTATCGCCAGAGTTGCATCGCTCTAACGTTAAGTACATCCATTCCGTTATGTTGGTACACGATTTATTTTTCAATTATGAGATAACAGATATTTTTATGCGTTAGATCACACGTTATCGATACACATAAAATAGATACATACGTTTAACAGTCACGTAACAAGAAATGAGCAAATTCTTATTTATATCAAAGTCTTAAATAACGAATACAAGGTGAACTTTTCATTCGTTATTGATGAATCCAAATTAGAATCATAGAATGAAATATTTCACCTATAAATATATAGCACTGTTCAATCGAATAAACGTCTCGAATATAGTGCTACTCGTATGAAAGTTTAATTAAATTGTACGAGGTATATTATAATTTAATTAAACCAATATACGGGTACAAAATATTCGTGATCTTTATTCGATCGTACAGTTTCATTTGCAGTTGTCCATTGTGAAATACTTCATTCTATAATGAAATTCATATAATTACGTTAAATTAGTTCATTCGCTATTCATTATTTGAATAAAGTCTTACCCATCTCTGCTAGTGTATAACGAGAGATGGGAACAATTCTTATTTGGTAGAAGTGTCGAATAATGAATAAACGATTTCTTTAACGTCCCTTTGAAAATTAGAATTTCAGTTATAAACTGAACTATTAATTTCACAAAGACAATTAAAAATTCGCAAGTTAAATCGCGCTTTGGTTTGACTTTATTCGTCATCTATTATTTCATTCATATTTAACCCGCCTCTGCAGGTAACGATATCGCGTTTTTTTATTCTCATTTAGTCCGTGTTCATTTCATTCGATCGAGCTGGTCGGTCGGTGGGAGAATATATATACATACGTTGTTTTTAGCAGGCCTAAAAACACTGCGCCGCTTTTTATCGCCGTGAGGGGTACTCGTCCCACCCCTATACCGCCATTTTAGCCTTTTGACCTCCATTTTCACCTCTTTTTCGACATTCGATTGGTATACTTGGTACGATTGGCACCAAATTCTATTTAAAGAATCTGTTAAAATCAGCGTGCGAAACGGTCGAAAATGGAACACTTTTATTATTAATAAATGGATATTGGATATAATACGCTGCTCGAGATAATTAGAGGATCATCTGTTCAAAAATGATTTTATCGTTCATTAACCTCTAAGTACATTACACATTGCTGCCTCGTATAGAGTGGCTATTTTTTAATCACATTAAAAGAACATTAAATACTTCATTGGTCCAATTAGCGTACTATTAAAATTCTTCCACCAGCTTTTCCAAATGCGGACCAATTCCTATAAGAATCGTTGTAGATAATACTAAAATGAATTTTATCGCGTTAAATAGTACATTCGAGCAACTTTTATAGTGTTTGTAGTATTTTCCATTTAAACACCATCGTTGCAATTTTATTAATTTATAATTATTAAATATGAATATTAAAATTGTTTAATGGTGATAACTTAATGGTTACTGTCTTCTATTTTTGTTGTTGTTAAAAGTGTTATTTAACGTAGTTGCATTTAATTCAGTATTATCCGCAGCTTTTGTTATAGAGCAAAAAGTAATTCTCATAAAATGCTGAAGGTGTTCTCGAAACTTTAAAAACTACGCGATAAAATGAATTTTAACGGTGTCGCACTCATAAATTTTCAAAAATAAATCTAGTTTAACGTTCAGCTCTGCATTTTATTATTTCAAAAAATACAAAATCAATTTAATCGAAGGTTGTACAAAATATTTCTTCCACAAATAAAATACTTAAACGTCACATTGAAATGATTGTTATGAAAACTGATTGTCCTCCATTGTTAATTTAATAACAGCTCAGGCGTAAATATCGAATATTGCCCATAAAAATGAATTCAAGTTAACTCATTAATTCATAAAATTTTTAAAAATGAATCTAGTTTAATATTCAACTTTGCATATTGTTATTTCTAAAATGCAATATAAATTTTATCGAAGGTTTCACAAAATATTTCTTCCATAAATAAAATACGTAACTGATATTGATATTCATGATTTTGCTCTACAAGAAACGAACATATATTTCTTTGCCTTGGTCTAATGGCGAAATCAAGGATTCTCCGTGAAACTATCGAGCGGTTTTTATCATGCACGTATTTCTGTCCACGAATTATTAAATAATTTATGACGTGCCGAGCCTGCCGCGATAGCATTAAATGTGCAACGAGAGCTGTTATCGTTTTATCATACGCTCTAACGACCTAACTCCTGACATTGGACGTCGTTTATTTTTCCCCTGTAAATAGTTTCGCTATGCGTCACTAATCTCCGTCGCGCGTTGTCGCCTATCACGATGTTTTCCATCGAACGTAACGCAAACTGCAATTTCACCTTCAAAAGCGACACAACGTCGTGCGCGAATAAAATCCTTGGAAATACTACACGAGATACTCGGATTTGTTTTTGTCAGCCGTGGTAAGGGGCAAATACGTCCGAGAAATAGTTTCTTCTGGGAAAAGTTTAATACATTGTACAGAATTCGCGTACCCAAGAAACACATTGTAAGAAAATATTATCGTTCATGGTTGATACTAATTGGAGTTTCCATGTTATCTTTTGGGTGAGAAACTCTGACGTTTCGCTAATACTGTAGCTAGATTCTTCGCACTGATATTTCTATAATACAGTGTTTTTCAATTTCTTTTAGTTTAAATATCTACTTTATCAGATCCATTTCTTAATTCGCCTCGTTTAATTTTTAGGATTTTAAAATTATAATATAATATAATAATCCCTTCAAAAATATAGAGTAGATTTACGTTAAACTTTAGTAAGACATAAACAAAGAAATTTGAAAGGAACAAAATTTAAATAACATTTATTACTTATAATTTTAACTTGACATACAAAATAATAAGATACATGAAATTTGAAGGTCTAATAAGAATATTGAAGTTGGTGATGTTTGCAAATGTTAGGCTATTTCTATGCTTAGCCAGCATTTGGGAAACAGCACTGAAACCCCATTAAACTAAATATGAAATTGGAAATACCATAATTAAAATGTATTAAATAATATATTTATGATTCGCCTACATTGAGAAACAATGATATGATAACATGTTATATTATCAATGAGTGATTTGATCCTTGAAGAAACTAACTGCAATGTTGGCGAAGCACCGGAAGCCTCGGTTAGTAGCAGCCATGAAGAATCAGGTCGTAAATGTCACAAATCTTTTGATTATCATTTAATATACTGAAAGATGCAACTATCATACTATACAATTTTTCATTTCATTTTAGAGGGTTGAATCTCGAAAGTCTCCCTTCGCTATTGTCCGTAATTCCGCCTGATTTCCCCCATCAATGTTTACCAATCGTTCACCCGGAAGTATTTCATCAATGAAAATATTTCTGCATTTATTATAAAAAGTATTAGAAACGAAGAAGTCCCCGTGTTCTCGTCACTTCCGCCCCACCGCCATACTGTATCCTACTTGTTACCAAAGAAGATCGCCACGAAAGAATTTCCAGATTTAAATCACATTTTGCCGATTTTCTCGTGAAGCGATCTTTCGCACGATTTTTCTGACAATTGTTCGGGCTTTTTTGATTCCTACTTTCTTGCATTTTCACGTTACCTCATAGGTTACCACTTACTACTTGTAGAGAAGTTAATGAAGACGTTGCTATCGTCGAAAATGTCTAAGGAAAGTGACTCGTCGCCGACACGAATAAATCGGACGAATAACAAAACAATGAACGTTTATTTAAATTGCGACGATTAACGAAAAGAAAATTTTCGAAGCGCGACCATTGAAAGCCGATTCACACTGCGACACGTCGAATCTCGGCAACGACACGCTAAAATTATATAGAAAAGACTCAAATTATACTAAATCTATTTATAATATTATATTCCTGTTATAATAATATTTGTATGCTACACAAATTAAGAGGCTCCTGTATGAAATATTATTATAATCAATATCGACACCTATATACATATATTAATATTATTAATATTGTATTTATATTATATATTATATGTGTATAATAATATTAATATTATCAAATATATTTATGATCTCCGTCAACGATACAATACATCAGCTGCTCTTTATTACTGCCGCTTGGTGAGGATCGGCTTTATATTTTGGATGAAGGAATTAATTGTTCGTTTTCAGGCATATTGGTGAACAATGCATGAGATTTGAATAGCAATTTATTATTATTAGGACTCGATCGATCAAGAATGATAGGTGTAAAATTCAAATCGTGCACAATGAAATATTCCATACCAAAGGAGAATTATATTTCTAAGAGATTAACTTGGAAGTGTCTAAATAAACGGGATAAACAATTTTACTCGCTGTAAGCAAAATTATTGTTCAACAAACGCGTACTACTAATGTATAATTAAAAATGTTTAAATATATTGGAGCTTCTGTAGTTGCAACGATGTCTTTTTAAAAATTAATGGAGAAGGTGTTGTAATAAATTATAGGCATTTTCTTCGGTACGTGACGATACCACACAGATATACATAGATTAGTAACACACAAGATGTTGCGATAAATTATATTCTAAGGATGTAACAAACAATTGTAACGTTTAAATGAGCAGTATCATGTACGTAATCTGTTTGTTTAAAATAAATACCCATTAAGTGTACAAAAAGAAAGATTCCGATTTATACTACGAAGTATTAAAAATACACCTTGAATTACATTAAGTACTTTGAAACCGTCATTTCTTAATTTCTCTATTAATTATTTTCGATTAACATATAAGTAATTAGCGTGATTAATGTGGAGAGAAATTATTTTTTTATATAAAAGTAAGGAACTCAAAGAAGTCGAGCGGAAAATTTATATTTAAATTCCTATGTACCATATGATTTATTTGAACGCTGTCCAGCAGATGTCACGTCAGTATGTTTAAATGCCTAACGTCGATGTTTGTGTTTTCGACGAGTCGTCGTGGATTATTAAAATTATTATTTCGTATCCTTAATCTAAAAATTTCTGATACATAATAATTCTTTTTCGGAATTTGGTAAAATTTAATTTGAATTTTCACCCATGGGAAAACGATATTATTGCGCTTATTGTGACAGATCCTTCAAGGATGACACAGAAGCTAGAAAAAAACATCTTTCGAGTTTGCAACATGCAAAAAATCGCGCAGACCATTACAAGATGTATAAAGGTGATTATTTAGTAACTTTGTCGCTTCTAAAATGTTTAAAACAGCTACTCGTTTAAATAAATTACGAACGTAACCTCAAAATAATCATTATTGTTTCTTTGGAATTAATCATGTAAACAGTGTAGTTTATTACTTTTTATAGACCCGGAAATATTATTAAGAGAAGAATGTTCAAAAACTCCGTGTAAACGTTATTTAACCACCGGTGATTGTGCATTTGGTCTTGGATGCAGATTTTCACATTATATGCCTTCTATGATGTGGGAGTTACAACGGCTTGGTAATAATCATGGTTACTTTTAAAGAATAGAAAAGGTAGTATACCATATAGTTACACGAATTTTATTTACAGTGGATGCAAAGAAGCAATCGAGATTGCATTATGCACCTGAAAATGGTTGGCCAAATCCTGATGACATTATCAAAGAATATTTTGAAACTAATGCAAATTCAACTAGTACGGATGAACCTAATTATCCTACATGGTATAGGCCAGTAGAAATGCATGATTATGCAATGTTACCACTGTCTTTATGGCCTATTACACCAGAAAGCTTGGCGAATACTTCATCCTTCAGAGAATGGGGTCAACAGTCATAAAATTATTATTAATGGTTTTAAACCTTGATACTGATTAAAAATAAAATAATATATAAGTTGTAAATAAATGTACATACTTTTCTAAAATAAAAGATGGAAAATATAATAATAAGCTAATCTTTATTCAAACTAGAAGTTATTTGGAGACTTATTACCAAGTCCATCATAAAAGTAATAAAATTCAAGATATTAAACAACTAATGATTTCTCACAAAGCTATTTTTCCTAATAGATTTAATGACATTTAAATGAGCAGTTGTACAATGGTACAGCATGAAATATCAAACAAAGCAATATTTAGTGTTTAATGTTTCTAGTTAATAGTTTCGAAGATATTTAATCTTGTTCTTTTTGTAACAGTGATAGTGTGGCATAGTCTAAAGAGTTTCAACCGTAATACAGTTTTCTTTTATGCATAGGTCTAAATCCTGTCAATAATTTGAAGATCTATATAAATGAAATAACTGGAAATAAAACTTCAGCTTTGAACTAGTAGACTAGTAGATATTAATTTTAATTATTGATTTGAATCTGTGTGTAGTACAAAATTTATTTGAGTTCATTTTTCAAAGTTCTTACCATCCCTGTGGTTCTACTTCTAACCTCCCCATTTCCAAATGTTAATTTACTATTTCAGCTAAATATAATACAGTCATATATAGTATATAATATATATAAGAAAGAATAAAGAAGGCGAATGTTGTAATCAGACAGGTATGGGGAATAGAAGAATGGAAGTTCAAAGGGGACTTTAGAAGAAGGCTTCTAATGTTTGATAGTCTGGTATTGGGAGTGATGCTATATGGGGCGGAGGTTTTTGGATGGAGGGAGAGGGCAGAGTTGGAAAGGGTACAAACAAACTATATAAGGTGATGTCTAGGTTTGGATTTCTGTACACCAAAATACATGATTCTAGAGGAAACAAAAAGAAAGAAAATAAGAATCAGGACAGGGATAAAAGCTTTAAGATTTGAAGAGAAGATTAGGAATGCAGTCGGCAGGGAGCTGTTAAAGGAATGGCTAAAGGAAAAGGAGACAGCGGCGGAGGAGACAAGAAATATCAAAGAAAGGATGGATTACCTGAGAAGAATCGGATATAATCAAGCAGGAGTCGAGGAGTTAAGAGAAGGAGAGAGAGATGTAGTGAAAGAGGTAAGGGAGAGAGATATCCAAGTGCAAAAACAAGTGCAATACAATAAGATAAAAGAGGCAACATATAACAGCAGATATAAATACATTGTAACAGCACTATGGCCAGAGTATTTACATAAAACAGGAAAGGGAGATAATCAAAAACTTATAGCTAGGATAAGGTGTGGGAATTTAGAAGAGGGAAACAGATATTGGCTGAAAGAGGAGGACAGGAAGTGCGGTTTGTGCAAATTGGAAAAAGGGATGCAGAAACACCTCATAGAGGTCTGCCAGGAGTTAGAAAGCGGAGAATTAAAAGAGGAAACGTTGGTAGAGGGGAGGGTGGATGAGAGAGTAGCAGAGTGGGTAAAGAAGATTGAGAAGAAGAGGAAGGAAAGGAGTGGGCAGTAAAAAATGTAAAATAGAAAGAGACCAAAGTTAATGTTAAGGGTAGTTCAAGGATTCGATGTATGTAGATTAAGGGTTATTAATTTTAAGAGTAGTATGTAACATATTGAGTATGGTGACATGAGTGAGGGTGTATATGGTTTAGTGGATTGTAATCCAAGTCCACTTCAGGGCTTAAAAGCTGGACTAAAAACTTTATCTATCTATCTATATATAAGAAAGAATGATCAATATACTACAAGAAACATAAATACAAAATATTATTATTGAATTAAGAATCAAACACTGTCGATTACATCAAAAATCACTGTTGCGAAGAGTCCTAACAATATGACAGGTTCAATTATAACTTTAACTTTGTACGACTCCTTAACTACGTTTTGGAGTTTTCCAAAATTATGTATTAGGTTGTCCAGAAAGTTCGTACCAATTTTTAAGAAAACTTTAAAGGCACATTTGAATTGTAATATATTTTTGTATATATTAATGTATTTTATTGAATTACATAGGTACCATTTTATTCCACAACCTTTCCACCTTTTAAGGGATGTACATATATATGTTATTTGTTTTCAGCAATTTCGATATATTCAGGACTGCACCACCTATCAAAAATCGGGATGGACTTTCCAGAAAACCCAATATCTTCGATAATTCAAGCCAAACCAAACATTGTCACTGTTCTCATTTAAATGCCTCGTTTAAATGTCGGCGGACTCATTAGAAATGCTTGTCAACGTTCCCTGATTATATCGACGCACCATCTTACGAGGCAACTATGAATCAGCCTCGGCGCGGATCGGATCTCGTCGGTAAGTTTCGTGACTACCATCTGTCCTCCGTCATCCCCTCCACCAATCACCGGTCGGAAAGGCAAGCACACAACGAACCCCTGCACACCGTCATACAGTAGCGAAGCACCCGTTGCCACGATAGTTTGGCGTTTTGGCGTCGTGTTCGGCGCGCCGCCGTGTCAATTTCAATTTGAAAAACAATAACTAGTGCCGAGATTGGAGTTGGATACTGTGATCGCGATTATGAGATTGATTCGATCGCTCGGCTCGTGTGAATTTTCGCTGGTGTGCCTCTCAGAAGACGTCGAAAGTGTTTGAAACCGTTCAGTGCATCGGCACGGCGGGACGCCGGCCCTCGATCCACCGACTGGATTTTCGATCGGAGCTTCGGATCATCTCCATCGCACCGGTAAGTTTTAACAAAGGTGTTTCATTTCTTAGTTCCTAAACGGGACCAGTCATCGAACCACGGTGTTCTTGTCCGGAAATTAACGCGAGAAGTCGAGTCTTGGACGTCCCGTGACTTACTCCAAAGTGTAAACTTTCAACTATAGATCCGCGAATTTTTATACGCAGTCGCGAAGATATAGTAAACACGATACAGCGAGTCTCCCGGTTACGCGGGTTCTGTTCTCACTTGTGACCTTATACATATCCAGAGTTGAGTGGATTTGCATTTGGTTAATGAGTAATCGTCGAAACGCGATCTAGATTAGATAAATATTAATGAATATTGAAAGGGTATGGGATAGATGAAGTTTAGTGTTATATGTGATCTTTTTTGTGATACAAAAGTTTAACAAATTTATATAAACACCATTAATATCGTAGAAATACGATAAATACCATAAGGACTGTATAAAAATGATACATTCTACACAAATATACAGTGGGTGTAGAAAGTATTCGTACACCGATCAATTTCCAAAAAAACTGTGTAAAATTGTAGATTATTAACTTATTTTTTATAAACAATGACATTCTACATGTTCTAGGAAATCTCTAGAATAGATAGATTACCAAAAAAATAGCTATTTACGTAAGTTGCGAAATTAATAATAAAAAACCAATTAATCGATAGAAATGTTGAAGCAATAAGTATTCGAACAACTGTTTAAAAGTACTTTCCTGGAAATTTGATGTTTTCTAATTCGCACGGAGCAATAAACTAATGTGTTCACGTTACAAACTCTGCTGTAAATGGTTCGTCATAATAATCGTTCAAATACTTATTACTTCTATACTTTTACCCACTTTTCGCCTTTTTTTGTTAATTTCACAAATTATATTAACTAGTAAATGTTGTTTGGACTATATCTATCTTAGACACTTCCGAGAATATGTAAAATATCATTGATTCTAAAAAAGGAAGTTAAGAAACTACAATTTCACACAAAAGTTTCTTGGGAAATTGATCGGTGTACGAATACATTCTACACCCACTGTATATGCTTCCATATTTATGTTAAACGAACAGAATGTAGTCCGTAAAAATGTTCAATCTGCGGATAAATCGTTATAAAATATTTTTCTTCGCGATTCGTTATTTCATTCATGTTTTGCTGATTTTTAACTGTTTTGAAGTAAGAAGAAAGTGCACAAGGTACAGCGCAGCGAATTTCTCGACACCTGTGGCGTCAGAGGAAAAATGCTCCGATTTTCAGAGACGCTAGATTGCATATGTAAACAGATAATGCGTGTGGTTTTTAACGGTCACGCCTAAGTTTAACCTGACAGGTATGAAGTGTCATTCAAATACAAATCGTTCTACGGTTCAATGCTTTGACGTGTCTCCACGGTTACGGGGGCGATTTAAATACAATCGATTGTCTTCGATTGGTTTGCGCAACGGGACAACATTATCGTTGGTAACGATGTATATGTAGTATCGAGTTATTCGAAATAGGTTTCGTTTAAGATACACTCAATCGGAGCGTTGTTCGGCTTTAGTACATATACAGAATAACGTGAGGCTAATTTAGGAAATATTTGTTTTGGAAGTAACAACCAACTGCAACTGAATGGTTTTTATTTTGTTAATTCTGACTAAGACTAATATTACTTTAATTACTTTAGTGATTAAATGCGTAATTTTACATTGTAAAACAGAAATTTATATTAAGCAGACGTTTAAATCTATTATTAGATGCGATAAATATATTGACAAGTTGATAAAGTATACATATATCTTACAATAAATGCAGTTTTTCCGTGGACTCCAAATATTGTCACGCATCATTTTTACACATGACATGTTAGTCAGAGTTAATTAATTAACATTTCACTTAGCTCTTTTAAGGAAATTACTCATAAATAAAATATAAATGTAGCTTAATCTTATACCTTGAAGGAGTCAAAATTAAGTCAAAAATAAGAGATAGATAAGAAAATTATCGGTGAATTAAAAATTCGTTTGTTATTATATATATATAGATCCATTGTAAATTTAAGTCACTAGACTTACATTTTAAAAGTCTTCGCCTTCCAATCTGTCGACAATTTGAATCAATAAAGATTATTTATATTGACCGTGCGTTGTCCATAAATTGATAGGTTTTATTAGTATTTAGCTGCACATGCATATATTCTTTATTGCATGCTATCCTTTGTTCATAATCGCTGTTCTCTGCAGCCAAATACTAAATTAAACTTATCAATTTATGATGAATATGTGGTTAACGTAAGTAATCCTTATTGATTGTAATCATCGATAAAATTCAAAAACATATTGGCTTAAATTTACAAGAAACTAATAGGACCAACAATATTTTTAGAAATATTGTAGTTAT